ATTTATATATTGCAGACCCGAAAAAGGGCCACACCATAGAAAACCAATCATCTCAAAAGAAAGCAATTATAATGAATGTATTGCCTATTTCATCAGAATTTGTTACAAAAAAATTACATCAACAGCAACCAAACCACTTTTAACATTGTTGAAATAGGCTATTTGGTAATTTATTACAAGAAGTAACATCACCAATCAAAAATAGAGGAACTAATTTACCCCATCCTTCCCAAGGAAAAAAATAATCTGACCCCCATCAACCAAGATTTCATTTCATCATCACAAGTACGCCCAAAAATGATTCTGAGCCAAGGAGAATGTTAAAAGACCAAGCAGCTGAGATATTTTATAACACAAGGCAAAATAATATCTGCAACATCATGCATCCCCTTAAAATCCTCTATCAAGCATTTCAATTTACCCCACAAACCTCCTACAGCTCAATGAGAACAAAAGCCCCAAATTTACAGCAAACAAAACCTAATTCTATAAATTCAAGTTGAAATACAGAGGAATTGGAGGAAGCAACCACATTCGTACTTGATATTGATATGAGAAAGGGAGCTAGCTGAGATGGAGGAGCGCCTGTGAAGTGAAGTTTTGGATGAGAGAGAGTTAGCAGAGCAAGAGAAGCTGACATTAATAAATCTGCATCTAGTTCAACAATAATATGAAATCCTCACCTTGTCTCCAAATCAATGGTCCAAATACAAATTAAAAAGATCAAAACCTGCACAGACCATAGCCCAAAATTAAAACCTAAAACTTACAATATAAATTAGAAAACTCAAACCTTGAATAATTAAAATTATCTTTTGGCATAGGGAGAGTGATGCCCATAAGAATGCCCATCACTAAACTTTCTGGCTAAGATGGTTTCAATTTAACAAAATTGAAACCCCAAACTTTCTATTTCAAAGGATTCCCATCACGCACAGATTTGTGCCCACCCATGTTTGGTGCTCATATCTAAGAGAGAGAGAGAGAGAGAGAGCAAGCCAGAGCTATAGAGAAAGAGAATCGAGTGAGACGGAGAGTGAAGGCTGAAACGATTGAGAGAGAGAGAGAGATAGACGGCAGGGATCGAGCAAAATGGGGGGTTTAGATTGGGGCTGAGATTTTTGGTATGGGTTTGGTTTAGAAACGAAGCCTGGGAAGGAGATTGAGAGACCATGAGATATAGAGATGAGAGAGACAATTATGGAGAAGAAAGAGAGAGATACCTGAGAGGAGAGGAGTCTTGTTCGTCGCACTATCTCGTCATCACAGGAGGAGGAGAGGAAAGAGAGAAAAGTAGAGTTTTTGCTTTTTTTTTTCTTTTTACCTACAACAACGGATTTATCCGGTAACTAACTCAACGGTGTGGATAACTCCACATCACCAACTATTCATCCAATGGTTTATAACAGTTGGCGCATCCATGCGCCACGTCCACCGTAGAATTTTCCTGCATGTAGAACACTTGTCACAGCACCTCAATGGTATAGGTACACCCTGTCAGAAATCAAGACTCCATAGTTTCAAAATTAGCTACAGAGAGAAGAAATTAGCTAAAATTTTAGATGTAAATGCAACATTTAAATTCATACATGCAATTATGCAATCATAAGTCTAGAAACACAACATATCTTCACTTATCCATCACAAACTAGAGAACAACAAATACAAAACATAAACAACAAATAAAAATCTTATTACTCTTTTGTAGCACTAAAAACCAGCTACCTACTCATCACTAACAAACATCCATCCCCCCAATCTGCATGAAAGGAAAAATGAAATGTTACAAAACTCTTTAGAAACGGAACCCCACAATGAAGCCCAACAATGCATTCTATCCCACAACAAGTCTACCACACACCGACCCCCCACAACCCCCGCCCCCTCAAAATACCCCCATAATATAAGCTCACAGTTATAGAGTTACTTACGCTTAATTGCCTACGCAAGTACTTGTGAAATGACTGATCACTATGATGAGAGTAACATTACAGTTAATTGACCATGCGAGTAGGTGTGAAATATATGATAGAAATCGTGAACGATTGATCAAGATAATAAAAAAGTACCACGATTGACACTTCAAAATAGTGATCATGCACGAAAACATTATCAAGAAACATTACTACATATACCTCTGCATTGTTTTACTGTCATTATAACATCAATCTATAGCACCTATTCAACCAAAAATTCATCTCATTAATGGTTCAAAAATTTTTGTAGCATTTATATTCATACCATTTACTTACAAGCTCTAAATCTCAACCGTTTGTATTTCTAAATTTTCATCCAAACGGTTTGAAACAATGCTTAGAACCTGGTTTGTTGTCTATTAAAAGACTTGATCAAGTGCTTCACCATTTGTGTGTGATGTATATTACTTTCGTGAAGTCATGAAAAAAACGAGTTGGCCCTTGTTTTGAACTTACATAAGGGCTTTAGCATCTTATTAGAAAAAAGGATTTAGCACTGGCTTTCAATAATGTGATAGGCAAATTGCTGAGTTTATCACAAGCCTTTCTCAGCATTTCCCTAGCTTTCTTTAGCTGTATTAGGCCGAAATGAACTGTTGATACAAACAATAATCAGCATTTTCGAGAGAACCAGACTAGGGAGTAGGAGGCTGTTAAGCTCATAATTTCATACATATACATGCCCAAATTTACTTACTTCTTTTGCTTAGTTTCTTATAATTTTGAGTTATTTGCCTCCCTTTGTGTGTTTTGTAGGCCAAAAGAGCAAGAGAGCATAATTCATGCAATTCAAGCATGTTAAGGCCTAATTTGGATGAAGGGAAGAAGAGCTTAAAGACAAACTCATTTTGGCTACAGCCCCCTGCCAGTCCAGTTCCGGAGGTCATATTGCAAGCTTTGTTTCAGCAACCTACATAGCTCGGATGAGGCAACATTCTTCATGAAAGGTGTTCCAATGGGTGTATACTATAACATATCCAAAA